GATCCCGCAAACCATGAAAAATATTTCTAGAAAAATTAAAGGATAAAAAACTGACTGATTGTAAAGGTGGAAGTATATGGTTTATAAGTAAAATACCCACAGGGTGGTTTACCCACTGCACAGCATGTCACATTTGAATGTTTATACTTCTTGTTAGGTTAATCTAATCTGAAACTGATTTAATTCAACTTAAATGACCAATACAAGATAGTGGTTTGTGGTAAGAGAATGAAAATATAGTTGTTTTTTAATTATGAATCATAAAAAAATGAATTTAAAAATATTGGTCCACAAACTAAAAAAATATCTCAAGAGTAGCCGACTACTACCATAAAGGTGTAGAAAATAGATGTTGGCCAATTCTCAGTCATACTGATTCGCCATAAAAAAATTATATGTATAAATGTAAAGTGCTTTAGGTGTCTAAATTTCAATCCAATAATTTAAAGAGACCATAAATATTTTTTTAGGTTTAAAACCCCTGTCGCATATAATACTTACAAATACGATACATTTATTATTATTGCACAATTTGTAATCATTAGTACGTACTTTGTCATCCACCATAAGCCGCAGAGTAAATTCATTTATTTTTTTAATACCGATTCGTCATGTATTTTGTACCATGTGAGCAATTTAAAAAGATTCTAAAACCTCTCTTAACACTTGAAAAATGCTCTATTTTAATTTAAAAGCTATTTTGAAAAAAAAAGAAATGCTTTTTTAGCAAGTGCAAGAGAAACAAGCTGTAAATTGGAATTCAATAGTTTTATATACTTTAACTTTATATTTTTCATTTTTCTTTCTATATACACTTAAATATATGTTTTTAACACTTATCTATTTCAGTATTTCAAAACGCATATATAAATTTTCTAAATTGAATAAATTATAAATACTTGATATTTAACAAATCACCTAACAAGACAGATTGATATGAATTTATTTTATATGCGTTTCCAAAGGAAAACACGAACAAGATTTTGAAATGTGAATATTGATATCATGTTATCGCCAATTAAAGTAAATTGAATATAGAACAAGCTTTTACATCTAAATAAATCAAATTTTCAGTAAAATGTGGTAAAAGGTAATAGAATTGCAAAAGTGTTATGAAACATCGAATATGTTCCGATCGCATTTTTTACAGATATATTTGTATGTTATTTGTTTATAATAAATATGTATGCTATCACAAAATATTCAAACTACAATATATTGTGTTGTTTAAAATCAATAATAAAAAATTTACCCTTCGTCCGGCTGTCCCAGATATAACCGGCACGGCAATTTGCACCGCAACCTGAATCGACGGCTAATTTTGGGTTGGCGTACAAAATGGCGTACCGGTTTGGCGATAAAATAGAATTTCTCTAATATATATATATACGAGGTGTGTTCAAAAAGTACCCGGAATTACTAATAATTAAATTTCGCGGGTCTGGAGTGTCTGATTGTCAAATTTTTTTTTTATTGTGTTGGTATACATGCCCCTAAAGTATGATGAAATTTTCAGCTATATTCACTGTTTACTTTGTCTGTGGTAGTCGCTAAGGTTCGACGTGTTTTTCTGAGCTCGGCGATTTTTACAATGGAAGAATTGAAAAGTCAAAGAATTTGTATTAAATTTTGCGTAAAAAATGAAATAAAGTGTTGCAAAGTGCAAAAATTCACCAGATATGGCTCCGTGTGACTTTTTCCTATTCCCAAAGTTGAAGAGACCCATGAAAGGACGGCGGTTTTCCTCGATTGAAGAAAATCGCTGAGAGTGCTCAAGGACATATCAAAAAGTGAATATCAAGGGTGCTTCGAAAATTGGAAAAAACGCTGGCATAAGTGTATTATATCTGGGGGGGACTACTTTGAAGGGGACCACATTAATGTAGACGAATAAATAAATATTTTTTTGAAAAAACGAAAATTCCGGGTACTTTTTGAACAGACCTCGTATATATATATATATATATATATATATATATATATATATATATATCAAACTCTTCCTTCACAAATTGTATTTCGTTTATCATCTGAAGTGATCTTGAACTTTACGTTTGATCCGAAAAGCGTCCAAAGTAAACAATAAGAAGCTCCAACATTAATCTAGGAGCCCTAGTATTAGAACAACTTATCTTTATAGGTCAATAGGCTTTTACACCATATATATTGTGTTTTAACCATGACCTAAAACCAAAAAACACATATGGATATCGTACAATGAAATTTGATATAATATTCAAGACAAGTGTTAGATGTATGATGTCATATTTTGTGCCAAACAATTTTAATTTATGTTAAATTAACTTAGTACTTTTATCTTATACAATTAGTATGAGATAAAAATATATATATAATATAATTTAACAATCGAGTTCATCAGATCTTTTCCATTTGCAAGTGGAATCCAGTAGCAACTTACTTAGATCACCTCCATAGATATAGTATATTAATCATAAATATAATAATCTATTAAAAATATCATCATAATTACCTCCTCGTTCGTTTAATGAAGCCAGTAATGAGAAAGAAATGCATTTTTTCCACTTTCTGCACATTTGCAATATCCCGTGCGCATATTAATGGCTTATTAAAGACAATTAAGCTATGGAGAACTAGTATTGAATTTGAGAATGTAATTATAATTGATCATGTCTATAAAATCGCTTATAACTCAGAACGAAATTAATTTATATCGTTGGCACATGGGCTGAAAACATCCTGCAGGATTCAGGAGAACAGTGTTGGAAAAATATAGGTCTTTTGGTATAAAAAATAATCTACGCCATGCCAAACTAAGGCCTGATCGACTCATAGCAAAAATTGTTACACACGATTATTGAAAATATAAGATTTTTTTTAAGAAAACTTTTTTTTGTCAAGTGAAAATTATTTACCGTTTTTCTATGTTATATATATATATATATACTGTTATAAAATACCAAAGGGTAGACAACTTATGTACAAATTCACTCTTATTACATAACATTATTTTACATAACGAAATATATTTTTGAACTTGAAATTATAGCAAAAATATCCTTGATGAAAACAGAATTAATAAAGCTTATAATTCTCAACAGTTTTATATTTTATAGATTTATTAGTTTTATTATATTTAATAGATTGTCATAGAAAGAATAAGAATTAGAAACATATTAAAAATGTTATGTAATTTATATAATAAAATATAATAGTTTTATGTAAAATTTTAATATGTGATGCTTAGTTTATTTTTATATAAGATTTTGAACGATTTTAGACATAAAAGTTTATGTAACCAGGAAATGAATATTTATGTGTCTTCTGGTAATAAAAATCTAGTTAATGGAAAATTTTATATACTACACACATATTAAAAAAAACTAATCTTAACACATCACACATAATTATTAATTGATTAATAAGTACTTACTAACAACTTATAATTAATAAAAGTAATTGAAAGATACATTTTATTGCGCCTAAGATCAGATTATTTTTTCTGCAACATGAATCACTTTTTATCTTGACTTCATTTTTAATTGATTTTTATTCATATGTATATATCATATATTTTATTGCAATTTTTATTCACTATATGTTCCTAAATATTCAATAAAAATGTATATAAAAGTTAAGTATAGGAAAGTACTTTTTTAAAATTAATATGAAAAAAATTCCCTAGGTGTGGTATATTATATGACAAAAATATGATAAAACTACCCTAAGCATTTTGACTATGTAGGCAGCTTATTTATAATATTACAGTAACTTTATTTAAAATACTATTAAAATATTACGAAATATAGAGTATAAATTTTATAATAAAGATTTAAAAAAAGCAAATCAATAAAATTGTATTATAAATTAGTTCAATTTACATTTTATATACGTTGGTTCTATGTATTATCAAGTATTTGCCAATTGATAGAATAATCAGATTTTTGTAGTTTATTAGAAAATTTGCTCAAAAATATAATTGTGTGATTTTTTAGACATTTATAATAATTATTAATTAATATATATAGGGTATACCTGAACAATGACAGCGTGTCGTTTTTAGGTTTTCATTTTTTTATTCAAAATTTTTCATTACGAAAATTTAAAGTATTTTACAATTTTGAAATCCTGATTAAATTGGTGAACTTTTATGAAAATTTGATCATGCGACTCTTTAATTATGTGATTAAAATATAACGTTTCATATAAATGGCAATATTAATTTTGATTGCAATCATTATTTTGATGAAATTTGTATTGATGAAATAAATTTATTTCTCTTTATTGAATTACAATCTGTCTTTACAAAAAGGAAGACATTCAGTAATTTCGATGATATATGAAATATTAAACCTTAGATCTAAAAGGTTACCCAGTAGTTTGCCTTTTCAATTTTGATATATTGAATTTAAATATTGTGATTATATTGATCAAATAAATGTGAAAAAAAAATTGTTCTTTAGATTTTTGTCAAGAAGGTTTTAACGTGCAAGTGTAGAGTAACTAAATTTAAAATTATTGATGAGATTTGATATATTTTTTAACTTCCCGTAGGGTAAGTTATTGTAATCGTCCAAATATGAAATTGATAATTTTTACATTTCTTCACGTTTTGAAGATTTCTGAACATTTTGGCATACCTCAGAAAAAATGGATGTGTGTGTGTATGTGTGTGTGTGTGCGGATACAAATTTTCAATAAAGATTTTATTTGTATTGACAATATGAAAAACTGATTAAATTTTTGGGGAGGCAGGTCCAGCGGTTATGGACTCTCAATAAAAATAAGTCATTTGGCGGTCAAAAATGTTTATTGGACATATGTACATCAAATTATCAGATATTTCATAGAGATTTTAATAATGTGTACACATTTTGTGTAAATTTTTTTGGGTTCCGTACCAACATTTTTAATTACGGTACGGAAAGTTCCAACAATTTGCCTTAAGGCACGATGCCATGCACCCCTCTAGTTATATTTTTTTTATCAATTATTTTTGAAAAAATAAATACAAAACTCACCGAGATCGTCTTTGCGCGCGGCTCGATCAGCATAAACACGTCTCCCTCATAAAAACTTTCAGATGCCTGAAATTAAAATCGATACGAACAATATAATCAAAGGTTATAAGAATATAATAATTTTAATAATAAGCATATATACGAGGTCTTATATTTATATTATTAGCCAGCTACCATGTCAGTTCAACCCCGATTTAATGAGGCCGACGTTTCGTTCGTTTATTAATGGTCATTATGAGGAGCTTCGGACATGATTGCGAAATCTTAAAGTAGGCAAAAAAATTACCCGTCGACGCGGTGACGGAATGCAATATCATTAAAATTGGAAAAAAATTATATTGAGTGTTCTGTTTTGCTGAAACGAGTTTCAGGGAGATGATCCTTGAATCCTGCGGTTCCGCACCACCATATGATAAATTTGAATTAAATACTGAATTGATATTTTTTCGGAGGAAATCTATATCCTTATCGTTTGAAGAAAAATATATGTCTGGTTAATTTGTTGTATTCATTAAAAAAAAACTAAATAGATCATTTAAGGTAGAAAGGACCTTACTGATAAGATTTTATGTACTATGATGCAGAAAAATTACTAGATCAGAGATTTTGTAACAAACAACTTTTTTTGTTGAACCTGTGTTATAGAAATTATTAAAAATTATTATGGATTGTTCTCCTATTGCTAAAACATGCCACTTATACCTAGTTTTGTATAAATATAAATAATTTTTAACCTAAAAAAATAGTTAGCATCATAATTTTCTTTATATTGGCTTTGACTTAGGTGCAAAATATATTTTTAAATATTATGCATCGTTTTAACAATAAGTGGTATGATTTTCCTCATATCTAAAAGCAGGCATTGAGTCATTTCTTGATAATTCTCATGACTAAAAGTTAATCATAATTATTTGCAATATATGCATAGGATGACTATAAAATTATGTACAATGATTGAAACAAATATTCCACGTTGTTGATAATATTATATCAGAGAAAAATATTGTGGAAATGAAGATGAGAAAAAAAAATTTCAAATGTTTTTGTTATTGTTAAATTCCGTGAAATAGTTGTTAGAAACAAATGACATATATTTATTATTGTTAAATTTCATAGAATTTTTTTTTTAAACTTGTTTTATTTAGCAGTCAAAAATATATAAAGAATCCTTTGAGCTAAATTGACAATATACGAGAATTTTGAGAATAAATTCTAAATAAAAGAAATGTAAATGGATTTCATTGAGTTGAGTAATTTTATATTACAAATAATAAATTGTTAACCTACAAAAAAAAATTGCGATTTTGTGACATCCTATAATGTCACATATAGGAACAAATAAAATTTTGAAATCTACCTGATGAAGTTGCTCAGGATGTTGGGAAATTGATAGGCTCGAAAAATTTTTATGCTGTTTTTTACAAGAATCAATTTCTGTAATAAATAATATCTCAATAAGAAGTACCTCAAATTTTTATGATAAAGAAGAAGCACAACCACTAAGTTGCTTTCTCATAAAGTTAGATAGAACATGAATTTTGCATAAGTTTTCCATAACTTTCACCATAGCTTTAGTACCTACATGTTCTATGCATTTATTTTAGTATTTTACATAAAAAATAATAAATTCATAAAAAATCAACACAAATCTCTTAATTACCATCTGTATTACGAGTTTGATGTGCATCCGACATCACATAGCTATGAAATAACACTTTATAAGACTGGTTTGATTGTGGCATTCCTCTACAAAGTGCCATCAATTGGTATATAAGATGGTATAAGTTCACATTCCATCTTTATATCATTCCAGAGAAAGTAATTTCAAGTAATTTTATCTCACCAGTACTCAAAGTTTATTGCAAAAAAGATTAATTTGTAGTGAATAGAATTACGATCGAAACAAAAATCCAATTTGGAATCCATACCTAATAATTTACACACATATCACACATACATACACACACATACACACACACATACACACACACATACACACACATATATATATATATATATATATATATATATATATATATAAGTATTTCATAGTATTTTCGACCGATAATAAAATATTTTTATCGACAATTCTTAAATTAATTCACACATTTCTGTCATAATGCATTAATAAAACCTAAATAACATTTGGCATATATCCAGATTTTTATTACCCTGATTATAAAATAAAATATTCAAATTTATAACACTATAAAATTTATTTTTGCACATTGGCTTCAGGTTAGTTGCATGGACTTTCAGATATATGAAAATAATAGACTAATGGATAAATTTTTTATCCAAAAGATGAAGTTTTCGCTTTCACTAAAAATCAATCACTGCGATTTCCAATTGATATCTCTTAAGTAGATTTTTAATATATATTATTATAATAATTACAGAGTAAAAACACACCTTTGTTCAAAAAGTGCAGCCAATTATTCCAAACAATTATAAATTTTACAATTCAAGCACTTTTCGTAGAACTTCAATATTTTACTATGTTTCTTTAGACTTCAGAGCTTTAGACTTCCAAAACTGTCTACATAGAGCCCCGGGGTTCTATTGTCACCAAAACATGGCAAAGCTCAAGGGGTCCAAAACACAAAAAGGTTTGGGAATCTGTGGTTTAGAGGCAAAACTGTGAGCCATGTCCCAAGAATCATGATACTCCGGGAAAATAATCGAAAATAAATATAAAATGATAATCCTACTTCATTCATTTAATAGATTCAATGAATCTATCACATATCGATATCGATATGGACAATTAGGTTTCTGATACGGTTAAAATATAATAGTTGGATACTGTTTTATTACATTATTACATTTCTTGATGGATAATAAATCACTCGAATGCATACGTCGACAGACATATTAAATGATCGTTCAATGTCACGGTCATGTCACATCGTCATAATATGATATCATCATATATGAATATATAATTAAAACCATGATATTAACATCTTGGAAATAAAATATTGATGATCCTGAAACAATATCTTGGTGTCATAATATTATAACACTTTGCCTGTATTTTTTTTAACTTTTAGTAATTGCAATAAAGTCAAAATAAACGTTTCACAGGTTTCTGAACACTTTGGCACACCTTTAGAAAAAATGGATGTGTGTGTATGTGTGTGGATACAAATTTTAGTCGATGACTTCGGGAACACGGAGCAACCGATTTGAATAGTTAAAAAACATTCGATTCGTATTAATGGGGAAACGTGCTGATTAGTTTCTGGCAAAGGCGGGTCCAGCCGTTTCGAAGGTACTTGTCGAAAAGTGCCAAAAATAGTAACTTAGTTTTAGAGAGGAGTGTCCGATTTGAATGATTCAAAAAGCATTTTATTTGTATTGACAAGCCAAAGAAATTTTTGGGAAGGAAGGTCAAGTGGTTTCGGAGATCCTGTACAAAAAGTGAAATGAATGCTATTTGGTGGTCAAAAATGATGATTAAACATAAGAACATCAAATTATCAAATGTTTTATGAAAATTGTAATAATAAGTTCAAATTTCGTTTATATTTCTATGGGTTCCGTATCCATGTTTATCCGTTAGACCGCGCGCTTACGAATGCGAATTTAAAAAAAAATCAAAATATGGAACAAAAATATCAAAATTCTCAAAAATCTATTTCATTCAGAACTTAAAAAATTATAAATCTTTTTTAAAAAAAATAATTTTCCTGTATTTGCCCGAAGGCACAATGCCTTGCAACGCTAGTTATAATTTTAATGAAAGAAAAATTTACTACATTGGGCCAGAGAAGATTGCAAAAAGATGTCAGACATATATGTCATGTAGAACATTTTAGCGTCAGACGCATATGACTGACATACGACAAAACTTGTTTAAACTCAAATATAGCTGTAAATATAATTATACATTTTTGTTACGTATACGCAATAAAAATGTAAAAATTAAAACAAAAATCATTCGAAATAATTGTACATTTATTTCTATTCTCTACTTATATTCAATGATGTTTCGATAAATTATTTTTAGAGCCAATCTTAAATTATTTCGGAGTGTTTTACGAGGCGCGTCGTCTCCGTGATATATTAATAAACCCGGAATGCAGGCACGCACGCGGTGGCCTGGACAAAACCAGAAGAGGAAACAAAAAACGACCAAAAAGAAAAAAAAAACAGACAGCATCTGAGTCAAAATTACATCAAAGATCCAGGCAAGTGTGTCGACGGCATTCCGGGAGGAACGCACTTTCTTCTTTAAATATAACATGATGTATAACAAAGGGCTATAAACTAAATTATTTGGTTTTGTGTCGCAGGAAAGGATTGTGATGAAATACTAAAGACTAAGACTTAAGGCAAATTGCTGGAACTTCCCGTTCCTCCGAAACCGCTAGACCTGCCTTCATGTAAATTTAATCAATTCTTCATCTCGTCAATACAAGTAAAATGTTTTTTGAATTATTAAAATCGGACGCTCCGTACTCTTAGAAACCGAGTTACCATTTTTGGCACTTATTGCCCCGTATATTTGAAATGGCTAGACCTGCCAAAAACTAATCAGCACGTCTCCTTATCAATACTAATGGAATGATTTTTGAATTATTCAAATCGCTTCATCCGTGTTCTCGAAATCGTCGACGAAAATTTGTATCCGCACACACACACACACATACATCCATTTTTTCTAAAGTATGCCAAAATGTTCAGAAGCTTTTGAAACGTAAAGATATTCAATAAATTTCATTTTTGATTTGTTTGCGATTTCTATAACTTGCCCTACGGGAAGTTAATAAGAAATTGAATTTTTAGATTTAATTTTGAAACCCAACTCGAATGTTTGAAATTTATTATTGTCATTTCACATTTTTCAATTTCAATCATATTTAAAGTAAAAGTTGATATAACTATTGCAAGATGTAATATTATTCGAATGAAGTTTAATGCTCTTGGTTAGAATTGAGCAGTAAGTTTATTTCAAGGAAATTTTGAAACTTAATGTAGAATAGAGTAGAACATAATCTATGGTCTGAGTTAGACTCCAAAAAGAAAATTTTTATATATCTTTACGTTTCAAAGTTTTCTGA